TAGATAGATAGATAGATAGATAGATAGATAGATAGATAGATAGATAGATAGATAGATAGATGAGACAGTCTCAGCCCAGTACAACACTGCCCCCTGCTGGCTAATTTCTCTAAATTGAGTCAGCTCATTTTGTCTACTACAAAAATAAGAAATAAAAAAATATATATATATTATACTTTTTACATCCACAGAGCCTGCCAGTTAAAAACAATCGTACAACAGAGATGTTTCCGGAAACTCTGCATTATAAATTATACTATTTAAATAAGAGAACAGATTGAGTTCCCTGACCCTTTCACTCTGGTGTTTGTCTGTTTGTTTGTTTGTTTGTTTGTTTTTGCTTAACCCCCCCCCTGCCCCCCCCCCCCAGACTCGTCTCCGTGGGCCCGGCGGCTCTGGCAGGAGACGACAGGTGTCACTGTATCCTTTCCCTTTGCCGGCGCCCTCCCTCATGCCTGAACCAGCGCCACGACGAGTGTTTGTCCACAAACAGAGCGCTGGAAGTTTGGCCAGACGAAAAAAGGCGTCAATTTGGCCTGGAAGGCGGCCGGTAAAACCCGGCGACGCCGAGCAGCACGTGGGCGCCCGGAACACGAGCCGAGAGTTCGGCCCCGAGCCCTCCGCATCCCAGAGGTAATTGCTCGTCTAATAATCCATTAGGCGCCATTTTTTTTACTGAGAGGACGCGTTCGTGTCAATTATCCCCGGCCGCTGCGCGCGAGGAGGGCGGGAGGGAGGGGGGAGAGGACGGGGTCAGCGCGCGACGCGCTTCCGTTTCTGTGGGAACAGGTGTGAGTGACGTCACTCCGCGCGGTCACGCTCAGACACTCGTCCTGCTCCGAAAAAGAGAGCTGCTGTCATTAACGGCGAGAAGGAGGGGGGAAATATCCAATTTAACTTTTGCCAATGGAGTAAACACGTCCAAACAGCGTCCAAGACAAATAATGGATCATAATTGGAAATGCCATTCTTCATTTCTGAGGCTTTTTGCATGCTTGACTGAGTAATTAGAAAGGGAATGGAAACCAGGCGATGGCCTTAATTTTTCTTTTAATGTTGACTGAAGTGAGTCTCCTCAAGAATGGGTCTAAAATGTTATTTAGGAAATAAAGTTTTAAGAGTAAATTATTCATTTAATACAATTGAAAAGCTGAAAATCATATATTAGAGGACAAGTGGTAGGGAGAGATGGAGGGATTTAACAGGGGACTGAACTGAACACATTTCATGTGGTTACAGGTTTCTATCCTTGCTCACGTGTTATCTATCAAAATAATTTGAGATTAACTCGTCAAAACTGGATGCATTTTGCATTTATACAGCTGAACTTGTTTCATTTTTCCTCATTGTGCCAAAAGAGGTCATGAAATAGTGCTGTGTACGCCCACTTCTATGTCAGGGGCCGGCAACTATTACGTACGGAGACCGTGTGAGACCGCACCAGTCAACTGCAATCGAGATGGTTGCCATGCTTTCATGTCCTCCCACGTTGTTCCACCGATCTCCCTTTAAATCGCCCTCCCCCCCCAGTCGCTTTTGCAGTTTGCACCGAAGTGGGATGAATTTAGCAGAGTTTTCCTGGTAAGATGGGTCTCCGGTTTTGAGGAGACTCTTGGACCAGGACAGATATCCCAGAGGATCAAATCCAAAGGGAGGAGAAGGAGAGGACAAACTGTGATACTCTCACAGTATCATTTTAACAGTAAACTAAACGCTCTAAACTCTTGAAAACTGTCGTTCTGGTTGAAAATATGTATTTTGTGCTAAAAGCTGTTTATCCTTTCCTGTCAAATTATGCAAACTGTATACGTATCTGTGCATCTTCTATGTGCCAAAGAGCCTTGCATTAATGAAGGGATGGAAGGTCACTGATAGCTGCTGTCACAGAAATTTTGCCCTTTCTTGGCTTCTTGCTATCTTGCTTTGGCTTCTCTTCTCTCTGAAACCATGGAAACGATGCCACAAGCTGTATCTTACCATCAGCAGGCAGTATAAATAAGTGTGCCTCTATTACCTCTCATGGACAGGCTCAGACAGTGATTCAAACACTACCTTAAATGGTGTTTTCCTAAATAAATGGAGCAGTAAGTGTTGTAGTTTCCACCCTCGGTTCGTTAACCTCTGTGGTATCACTGAATATCAACCGCTGTGTTTCCTGGTTCTGGTTCAAGAAAGAGAACATCTTGGTAACAGGATGTTTGACAGGCTGAAAAGTTTGTTCCCTGTCGCATGTCACCCATCACCTGTCGCATTTTCTGCTTTGTGGAACAATGAAAATGACATGGAATTTGTTTGACATCCAGACACGGTCGAGGCAAAAGACGCCGGACGGGTTAAGGCAGGTGTGAGCAGAAGTTAAATATTTGACTTCAATCATCATGTCAACTGTTTTTCAGAGCAAACAGCCGGACTGTGTTTAGCAGAAGTTGGCTTTTATCTGTGAACGACTGTAAAAAGGGTTGCAGATAACCCCTCGGTCCCTTGCAGGCTGCTCTGGATTTGCTCCTGACTCTTCTCAGTGAAAATGAACGTGCTGCAGCACCAGAGCTCCCACTCGTAAACACCACAGCATGTTCCTCTGGCATGTCCCCTCATGCAGACGGACAGCTGGAGAAAATCAGTCAGAGTCCAGTGTTTTTTTTTTAGCGTGGATTGTAAAAGGTGGTCGAATAGTAAAAGTTTGGGCAAAGTAATGAAATGGCCCTTCTGATCTGCACATGGTGTGGTTCTGGCTGCTGCTTAGCAACAGAAGCTAGCAACTGCACTGCAAAAAGTGTCTGTCCAAGCAGGTGTTAAGTTTACCCTTCATTACATGGCTGATATGCTAAACAAACAAACAAACAAACAAACAAACAATCAGTTATCACACAGAAAACACATTTTCTTATTCTACAAACACTCCAATTCCTTAGGCAGATTAAGCAGATTTCTCAAAGTTAGAAAACTTCATATATACCGTTGATATGAAGATATTTGAGTGACTGACATTTACCTATATTATATAATATACGTCTGGATTGGCACTCACTTAACAAGGACCAACAGTCATTGTTGCTGGCTCAAATTAGCACACTTGAACCTTAATGAGTACCGAATTATGGAATTAGAGACGATAAGAGACTAAAGTGTTTTCTCCAACCGCAATGTCTATCAATTCTGTTTGATTATATGTTTGTTTTTTAATATACCAGTACAATTCTGGTGAGGAGGAGGAGGAGGAGAATGAGGACGGGTACGAAGAGAATGAGGAAGAGGGAAAGTAAAGGGAAAAAACTGGGACGGGTTGGTTTGGAGTTGGACTTTTTGTTTTCTGTTTTCTTCTCTTTGAGGTTTTAGTTAGATTTTTTACTTATATTATTTAGCTTCAGGAGCTTTATAGCGTGGAGTACACTAAGAAATCAAAATTTACATTTGTGTCAATATTGAGCTCATTATGGATCCTTTTTTCGGTATGGGGATAGGATTATAAGTAACATTACAGTTTTGCAAATTGCTGTTTTCTGCTTATACACTGTGTAGTTTATAGGCTTTTGTATTGTTGGCAAAGACAAAGTTTGGGAATTTTGGCAAGAGTTTTTTTTTTTCATTTTTATTATTGTTAATTTTTACCTGGAATTTGAAAAGTTTAGAGCAGAGTTTTTGGAAAATGGAGAAAGAATTTTAAAAAAATCCAAACAGACTCAAAGAAACACAAGTTGCTGTCATTGGTCAATACTTCACTGTCATGATGGGATCATTTCATGCTTTATATGATACAAGCTTATTAGTTTGATCTCCTTTTATTAGTCAACACGACATTTGCCACAGTTTTTGGCTGCTGTTTTGCACGAGAAGCTCCTTTTCATTTTGACCAACGCTGCCACTCGTGCGCATTTTGACTCTTTTTTTGTATTTATTTGTAATTGTGTAGCGCCTGATGATAATTTGCTCCTGGTAATCTCTTCCTCTCTTGCGGTTCCCCTTCCAGCAACAGGCTGGGGGCTGATGCGGCTGTTGCTAGACAAACATGGCATGGCAGGATGCCAGCGTTGGCACTGCGCGGACGCACGGTGACCCGGCGAGCGGGACACTTTTTGCAGCGTGCGGGCTATAAGGAGAGGGAGTGGCGCGCTGGTTCACAGTGAGGAGAGAAACTCCACACGCAGACAGAGGCACGGCAGCGCCCGGGATAACGTGATTAGCGCTCTATTAGGTCCGCCGCTGAGCTCAACTAGATGAAGAGCAGAGATCATTGCGAGGGAAGAGAGAGGAGACGCAGAGGAGAGCTCTCATCCGACTCATGGGTTTTCGTTGCTTTACATTGATTCGCCCCAAAGAAGTTACGCACTCACAGTTTTTCCAGTGTCCGTGCGTCGGGCTCTGGAGAGGTCGTGCCACCGGTCCTTGTCTCAGGTAGGATTTTCTACTGTTTTTTCGTCTTTTGTTTAGTTCAGCTTGGCATGATTTTTCCCCTCAATCTGAGCAAATCACTCGTGCTGGTAATGATTTCAAAGATTTGTCATATTGAGTAGAATATACAAATGACAGCAATGAAGAATGTGCTTTTCCCCCCCTCCCTCTTGTTGCCATATTTCCAGATGAACTGACAGCCTAAGTAAAAATAAGGGCTCATCCCTGAGGAGGCAGTTCACAATGAAAAGGAAAAATCCAGGAAAGCCTGAGAGGAATGATTTGGTCCCTCCTTTTCTAAGCCCTGCCGTGAGCCACTAGTTCAGCTCTGCCTGTATGATATTTGTTAACCTCGGGTGAACTCGCACGAGAGGTGGGCCGATCCGCTCCAATGGAGTCTGACAACGGGACCAACCAAACTTTTCCCAACGTGACCACTTACAGCCTCCAGGTAGCCCTGCCTCTCACGGTGCTGGTGGGGATCATGATCCTGTTCATAGTGTTTGGGAATGTGCTGGTGGTCATAGCGGTCTGCACCAGCCGGGCCCTGCGGGCTCCGCAGAACCTGTTCTTAGTGTCCCTGGCGTCGGCGGACATTTTGGTGGCGACGCTGGTGATGCCCTTCTCCTTGGCCAACGAGCTCATGGGATACTGGGTATTCGGGGAGGTGTGGTGCGACATCTATCTGGCCCTGGACGTCCTCTTCTGCACCGCCTCCATCGCCCACCTGTGCGCCATCAGCCTGGACCGCTACTGGTCCATCACGCAGGCCATCGAGTACAACCTCAAGAGGACGCCGCGCCGCATCAAGTGCATCATCTTCATCGTGTGGGTCATCGCCGCCGTGATCTCTTTCCCGCCTCTGATCACCATGGAGAAGGAGAACAGCGAGAAAATCCCCGTGTGCAACGTCAACGATGTCAAGTGGTACGTCATCTCCTCTTGCATCGGCTCCTTCTTCCTGCCCTGCATCATCATGGTGCTGGTCTACGTGCGGATCTACCAGATCGCCAAAAAGCGGACGCGGGCGCCCCCGGGGGACCGGAAGCGGGCGGATCTCTCCAAACCGGCGGCCCTCGCTTCCGCCAACCCGAAGGAGAACGGCGAGGCGGTGGACCGCCTCTGCCACGAGAAGCTGAACGGGGAGAGGGACATCGAGCTGAAGGAGGCAGCGAGGGGGGAAGAGGGAGCCCACCAGGAGAAGGGCGACGTCAACGGGCTGGACCTGGAGGAGTCGTCCTCGTCCGACCACAAAATGAACAGTCCGTGCCCCATCAAAAAGAAATCCGGCAAGGGGAAAAAAAAACTCAGCCAGGTCAAGCCGGACGATGCCCACATTCACAAGGAGGCTCAGAGCAACAAGGGCAGCCGCTGGAAGGGCCGGCAGAACCGGGAGAAGCGCTTCACTTTCGTCCTGGCCGTGGTCATCGGAGTGTTCGTCATCTGCTGGTTTCCCTTTTTCTTCACGTACATGCTGAGGACATTGTGCGACGACCACTGCGGAGTGCCCGACACCCTGTTTAAGTTCTTCTTCTGGTTCGGCTACTGCAACAGCGCCCTGAACCCCATCATTTACACCATCTTCAACAATGACTTCAGGAGGTCCTTCAAAAAGATTCTGTGCAGAAGAGACACCAGAAGATACATATGACTCTGCACTTTGTTGTTTTTGTTGTTGTTGTTGTTGTTGTTTTTTACTTTATTGTACATACGTTGTAGAACATTGCAGATGGACTTTGGGTTTGTCAGTGCTCTGGGTGTGAAGGGTCAGAGGGAGCTTTATGTACAGCACCATCTTTTCGAAGCATCCACCAGCCACAGCTTCCACACAGGCCACCACAGTGAGAACATGCTTTTGTTGTAACCGCATTCTTTGTATTAAAGGAACAAAGTCAAGTCCATTATCTGTAGTGAATTTATATGTTGTACAAAAAATGATCTGTGACTATTTGTCTATTTTCATTGTTATGGCTGCGGTATCGTGCTGTTTCGTTTGATGAAATAATAATAGTGACTAATGTGACGACGATGGTGATATCTCGTGGTGAAAATGCAGACTCTTTAAAGAATAAATGAATCCCAAGTATTGGAAAAAGACTGGAAGGACCCATATGAAGCATCAGATTGGTCACATTCCACTTGGACGTCAGAGTGAGGACAGTGAGGGAGAGGCAGCTGTAGTCACTTGCCAGAAAAGCCAGAATTTTCTCTCAAAATGAGTTCAGGCAGGATTCCCATTCTGAACACATATTTCCTGCCACTCCTGTGAAGGTATGAAAGCACCGGTGCCGAGTGAACTGAGTCCAAACGACAGGAGCCAGTTCACCGGTCCATTGAATCTGACCTTTGTGAAAGCCTAACAAGGAGCTGAGCTCTTAATGAGCCTGAACAGAACATGTGCAAATGTTGTTTTGGTCATGTTTGTGATAAGATGGGGGACTTTTATCCGAGATGTCAGTTACCTCCCCCCGATTTAATTACATTTTTTTAATCTTTGTTTTTCTCTGCGTGCGTGTTTGCTCGAGAATTCGGCCAGTTTATGAATCAGTCCTGATAATGTAATGTGAGGCACTGTGAAGTAGAGACGTAGCGGTTTGTTGGCTGTTTTGCATTACGCATTATTAGGCAGAGCCCGTCAAACCGGAACCTGATTGACTGGTCTAAGTCTGTCTCTTTTTACTGTACTCCCTCCACTGAGTTTAGAAGAATACGTGGATAAAACAAAAGAATGGCCATCATATGCCCGTCGAATACAAAGAATGCGCCTCCCCGCAGAGGATGGGTATGTAAATGCATTCCTTTTGACAGTCAGCAGAGTGGTTGAACAGCAGAATCCTCAGATAACTAAATGGTCCCTCTGGGAGAGTTCAGTGAGCCTATCTAGTACCTCATTTGTGAGAGCTCAATGTATACTCACATTGAGCTGGTGGAGTGTTTTCTGCATGTTTATAAAATGTGTAAGTGCAGGGGAGGAGTATTTGTGCGTGAGAATGTGCATGAGTGTTCGCCATACATATAAACAGAGGGAGAGAACTCCCACTGGATGGACGAGTCCGCAGTCAGGCGCGCTGATACAAAACGTTCAGTCCGGATTAAAGGAGGCTTTTCTGTGAGAGATCTTTGGATGTTGTTTTTTTTCGTTTTGGTTAAGGGAAAAAAAAGCTAAAAAACCAGGAGAAGAATGTCTAATGTGGCTGCAACAGTCATTTCACAAGAACTAACTTTTGGAACTATCCCAGAGGTCAAGGCCCCCCCGCTGTAGTACATTGTGAATTGGCTTCCCACCATTGGATGAGATTAAACAAAGTAAAAAAGCATCTGAATGAACATCTCCTCAAATTCTGTTGAATCTACAGGTTTTCAAGAAGAAACCTATAAGCCAAGCTTTCATTGTCTGTCCTGCAGTCTCTGGAGATTGTAAGGCTATACAATGGAAAATATCATTACAAGCAAGCAGTAGTGCTCTTTGCACTGTGAATAACTGTGCAGCATCCCACCTCAAAAAGTTAAAAAGACTCTTCAAAAAGTACCTTTTGTGTAGGTCTTCAAAACCGAATCTGTAAACACCATTCTGAGGAAAAGTGCATTTTTTTATATACAAGAAAACCTATGTCCAGAAAAGAATGTTGTCATTGTTCTAAATTCATTGTATTTAGAAAATATAAATAAGTTTACGTGTTTACTGTTGTGTTACATCCTTCTTCTTTTAAATGACAATTTCTAATTGTTGGATAACTGAGTTTACAAGATGGATCTTTGTTCATTCTTGCTGAATTAAAGAATTCATCAACAATCCAAGGCTATTGTTGCCTGACTGTGCTCTTTATGATGCTCCACACAATTTCAGCCAGGCAAGAATCTGGACTGCATGCCAGCCATTCCAGCACACACATACACACACACTGGGCATCATCCACGATTAAATCTGGTGTTGTGCTGCTGAAGTAACCACACACACCTGTAGAAGCTGTGGCTCGATCGTTTGGTTGCCTGCAATGGAACCCTCGAATGGGGCGTGGTGTTTGTGTCCAACTTGTGCCGGTTCCAAACCCGGATGAATGCGAGGGGTTGCATCAGGAAGGGTTTCCCGTGCAAATACTCCAGCTAAATCCCACAATGTGAGTCACATCTGATGCTCTCCGGTAACCCCTGACGGGCAAAGCTGATAAGCGTAAACAACATCTGGAGAACACGTGGATTGATAGGAATACATGTAGTTCCAGAATTGAAAATAAATGTTCAAAACAGTTTCTTTTGCTTCGATAACTACGGGCTAAAAGTTTAGACACATACAACTGGGTTTCCTGTTCTTGACCTTTGTGGTCTGAGGTTTCTCTAAACTATGTTTCCAACATATTTTGTGCTTTAGACATAAAAGGACAAAAGCTCTTTGTAATGAGGAATTTTGAAACATTTTTATTACTATAATTTGTAACTGAATTTGACTAAAGAATCATGAGAAATGAATTGAAAATACTTCACTTCTGGTGGATTCTTCTTTTATACCCAATCCAGGCACCCTTACCTGTTACTAACTGATGAGTAAGGTAGTTGAATCTTCCAGAGCAGTCTTTTTTGTTTATTCCCGTTTAAATTCTGGAATAATCCTTATATCGCTTACCGTTTTTCAGTCTCTTAGGGGTGACATTTCTTTTGTGTGAAAAAAGCCTTCTTTTCATAGCATTTTACAAAAATTCTCACACTTTTCTGGAAATAAGGTTTGTAGAGTTCATCAAAATGTTTCTCCTCCCTGGGGAAGACCACTGTGATGAAAACGAACGTATTCAGCGGCACACAAACATTTCAAAGTTTATCTTACCACAAATAGCTGACAGAGGAGAAGATTCTGCATTTTTTTCATACTTTAAAAAGAAAGGTTTTGTCTTCCTACATGATCATGACCTAATGACACTCCTCATTCAAAGCGTGAAGGCTAATATTTGCCTTTAGCTGTAACATAAGATACTAAATTTTCTTGTGGGAGACTTTTTGTGTGATTCTTCTGAGGAGTTTTTTTTGTGACAGATGTTTTTTTAGAATTTGGTGGTCTAATTGAATTAACTTGTTTCTGTTCTTTTCGTAAAATCCTCAGCTCTATTTTTGTCAAATACTTTTCTTTTTGTTATTGCACATAGAAAATACCCCTTTTTTAAAATAACCTCATCAACCCACAAGAGATTCAGATTTTAATTCTGCTAGGAACATGTTGATGCATTTGTGGCTGACCAGTAAAACAGTGCACCAGCAAGTATTCCATCACATCACAGCTTTTTTAGGAATCTTCAAAGAAGTTCAGTACTGAGCTGGATCTATAACTTACCAATAAACTGTAATTTGTTTATTACATTGCAAACCACGGAAAATATCTTTCCAACAATGCTCTGCCACTGAAGGCGGCTATTAAAAATATAGAAAATCAATAAACAAGATATGGCCCCTCCATAATAACTCAGATTTTGAACCGATGTGATGCATTAACCTTGTTTAAACCATATTTGATCTGTAACACAAAGGCTTCTGGAAATTAATTTGATGTTCAAACATAAAAAATGCGGTCGTGTATTCTCTTAAAGCTTTTATGCTAATCAAAACTGAACAACACCTGAAATTTGGAAATAATTTACATGAAAAATAAAACTGTTCGGAATGTAAAAGGACTTGGGCTTTAAAATTAATATTTTTACTTCAAATATGGGACTTCAGACTGATAGATACCCATTTTCTGGTCCTGCTGCAATCCCAAAGCAACCCACCAATAGCCGACTCTTGCTGCCCAGTTTATGCTGACTCAGCCACTTTGCACCCTGGCCTGGTCAGTGCAGAGTTAATTCTGCAATATGCAATGCAAGTGATTCTCAAAATGAGGACACTAAAACATACAAGGTTGCATGCAATGCGATGCATTAGAGTGATAATGCAGTCACTTTCATCAATATTAGATATACTGTATAGTGTCTAACTTCCAATTTGAGCTTGCTTTTGCCTCCTTCCAATTTCTACAATGATTTCCAGTTTCACATTCATCAAGGTGTATTGAATACACACGCAAAGCCTGAAAGCTGGCTAGACTGGGTCTTCTGATAGTCTCCGTGAAGCATGCTGGCTGTCTGACCTCACCTCTGTAAAACTGTAGGTGGTGCACTGCAGATTCATGATACCAAACATGACATATGGCATTAAAAGGATAAACATGTTAACAGGATTTACAGCAACTTTATATCAGATGGGGGGTATTTAGAAAACATTCAATCAACACAGTTCCTCCTCTCATAAAGATTAATTGATGAATAGTATATGATCATCAAAACCCTAATACAGCAGCAAACAAAGAACTTGTTATGTTGTTGTTATGAATTGCAGGCTAGTAAAATACATCTGAAAATTTACAGGATAATGTTGCTGTTCCTACACTAATAATGCGTTACAAATGGATACGATGTGATTATTTCCATTCCTTTAAATCTTTAATCTGGGGAACGACCATAGTAAAATTGCACATGTTGTGAGTCAAAATAATTCAGAAACCGAAATAGCTTAGAAACTGAGTTTACTAAGGGTCATCTGAAAATAGAAACGATCTGGTCTGTCTTTTAACCGGTGAAAACATTGGAGTTTTGCGGAGGGTGATCAGAACCTGCCGTTGTGCGTCTA